AGAGAGAGAGAGAGAGAGAGAGAGAGAGAGAGCCCAAAGTAATGATTCTCTTTTTATGTCTTCAAAGCTTAAGTTAAATTTAAATTTTAATCGTATTATAATTTAATTAAATATCATAAATATAACATATTCTCTCAAAGAATAGTTTTTTATTTTGATTATAAATGCATTTTAGCCGATATATAAATAAATATTTATAACTGATATTATTGAGAAATATTTTTATTAAAAAAAAAGAAGAGACCAAAAATCATTTCTCCTATTATACTTATCGAAATTTGCTCATTGTAAGTAGAACTTTTTAAAGTTTTCCTTGCTCTAAATATTTGCAGCTTACAAATGTCAGTGTCTCGAAGTATAATTTACATTTTTTGGGTGGTCCTACAGATTTAATTACACGTGTTAGATTCTTCGTAAAATCGAAGGGTATAAAATAACGTGGGATATCTGAAACGCTGACGGGTAAAACGAGCCGGTTATTCCTTGAGAATTACCACACCCACGCCTTTTATCCCTTGTGCATAGTTCGTGAAGTAATCACCGTACCGTTGCGTGTTCGCGAAAACGTATACACAGTTTAAGATATAGAGTATTATTACGTTGATTATTACGTCTTATATATCGGAAAAAAATCGATAAAAAATATCAAAGTATAATAAAAAAAGTATAATAAAAGTATAATAAAAATTAATTTATTCGTCAAATTTGACGCGATTTATCGTTTATCAAGATAAGAAAATTGTTGCGTAGATGCGTTGAAGTTCGAGCATCTTTGTGATTCTACCGTGGATATTAACTCAAGAACGTGAAAAGATATCGTAATTAAGAACGTGGAAAAGCGCCGGTTTTCTTTGTTGCCAGGCAGAGAATTTATTTCCTCTCTTGGTATGCTTGGCTTCTTTAAGAACCTTTCTTGATGGTTCCAGTCATCTACTCCCCTCATCTACCCCCGCGACTGGTCCCGTCTTCCTTCTCCTCTCTTACGTTCTTCACCGCCTCTATTTATCTTGGTATGAAGAGAAGTATACGACCTAAAGTCTACTTCAACGAAGAACGTGTTCTACGACGTAGTATTCGAATAGATGTAATCTAACGGTCGAAATTTTAATAGTCAGGTGCTGGAATTCAAATAGTCACTGTAAATGTACTTTAATTTATTTCGTTTAACTTTACAAAGAAAAGTTTATCTCAATCTTCTCTTCTTTTCTGAGCTGGATTGCGAATTAAAAAATATATTACTTGTACAAAAAAAATAATCTTCATAGTTTTTATCGCTCAAGTATAATGTAGCAAAAAAGTTTTTTTAGAATTGAGACTAGTTTTAATTATTTTAATATTTATTAACAATTCAAGAAGCAGCAAAAAAGAAAACACACAAAAATAGATTATATAAATAATAAAATAATTTTTCTTTTTCTTGACTTGAATGTAAAGTATCGATATCAACTCGAGTGACTGTATATCAATTAATGGCTAATCGTTATATAAATATCGCAATCGACATCGGCTTTTTTATCGATGTGAATTACCATTGTATTGTCCTCGATCGGAGTAAGTGATTCTACGAGCGCCATTTTTGTCGACTGCATTAAAGTTTAAACTTTAAACTTTATCTTAATATTACGATAACCAGTATGTTTGAACTGCGCCCTTCCCAAGAAGATCTATCGTGAAAACTCGCGATATAGATAATAATGTTTGCGTACAAGCTAATCAGGAAAATCAGAAAAGATCGAGGTGCCGACGATGAAAACGATGGGATTGGTTAAACAAGCAGAAAAGAAAAAAAAACAGGAGGATCAGTAAATGAATCGAAGCATTAAAAAATGATCATTAAACTCATTTGACATGTAAACTTATGCGAAGAAAAAGATTTATCACTTTTTATAGCTAAATAGTTTGTTAATTTGCATTATCATTGCATTATCGTATAAAAAGGAAAAATTTTTGTGCTTTTCAAGGTGCTTTTATTTTTAAATCTACAACATACAAATGATGCCCTTTAAAATGGAAATTGTTACTTAAAACGATTATTATATTAAAAAAAATTTCAAGTCTGATTTTACTTATTTGTCAAGAATACCACTTGGAATATTTGTCAAGCAATTACCACTGGAAACAATATTACCATTGGAACAATTAATTACGAAAAAGTATGAAGTTTAATATCGCGTGAGAAGTCCTTTTACATGTACGTAAGAATCTAGAAGAGTTTCAAAATTTTCAGGAAATCGTCTCTCTTATTTCTTTGTGATATTATTCTTTCAAAAGCGCGGGAAGAAACGAGTAGCTACAGGCCACGAATGGTTACAGACTACAAGGATACCAACTTCAAAAGCATTCATAAAGATGCTTGTTCCGAAGAAACTGGAATAATCTTCTATCAAGAGCTATATTCTGCAAAAATATTTATGTAAATTTTTTACGTACAACTTTGATTTGTCTTATTCTCTTTATCGCTATTATCTTTAAAAGTATATAATCATTAATAAAAACAAGTAGACCGAGTATTGAAAAGTCAGCTTATCAAGTCAGTCTTTTCCATTTAATCCACGACGTGAACCCGTATAAACTGCTGAATTAGATCTCTCCAAGAGATCCAATTGCCTCTTCTCGTCAGCCACCGCTGCTCGTTACGTTCTGGCCGTTATCTTCGTTATCTTTATACCACTCGTGTCACTGTCGGACGTGACGTTGTCGATAAGCTGCGAAAGAGAAGAGGACGAAAAATCGATGTCGAAAGAACGCGATGATCCGCGGAGAGTCGAAGACCCATCTCTCGTTGGACATATTCCCGGATATCAGGGCCAGTATCTCGCGGCGCGGGAACAAATTTACGGTACGCATCTCGCATCGAATGCAAATGCTCCTCTTCCACGGTTCACGTTCCCAGAGACGTCGTTATATCTTTGCCGAACGGCATTCCAAAGCGGCACTCCAAGGAGCGACGCTCACCATTGGCCGGCGTTTCCCGCCAAGACGTTCCGGTATGGGAACCAGTTTCGTACCCAGGGATTCTTTCTCAGCTGATCGCCATCGATACACCAAACGTTCGTCCTTTTTCCCATTTTTCTCTCTCTGTCTGTTTTATGTCTTTTAAGTTCACCCTCTTCGGCGCTTATCGGATTTCATTCGTTTTACAGACTTTAAGTTCTTTTTTTCTTTTTTTCTACCATTTCTACGAGTTTCGACGAGTAGAGACTTTGCAAACGTGCAATGACCATGATGATGATTGCGCTATGGAAAAACTGTAGTTACATATTATTGAGATATTTCAAAATTGTTTGAAACAGGGAGAATAGAGTTAGATCAGTGCAAATGATTTATTAAACTTAAGTAATCTGAATTGATTATTTTTTTAAAATTTTCGTTACTGCATTATATACATACATACATAAGTTATATATGTTTAAAGAAACACTCTGAATCGTAACTCTCTGATTGCTGTCTTCAATAGAACTCTAGAAGGGTAAGGTAGAAATGTAATTAATTAATTAATTTACAGTTAATAAACGGTTC